ACCAAACCAAACCAAACCAAACCAAACCAAACCAAACCAAACCAAACCAAACCAAACCAAACCAAACCAAACCAAACTAAACCAAACCAAACCAAAAACAAAAAACAACAACAAACCCAACTAAAACCAAACCAAAACAGACAAAAATTGCAGAGCCCTTGGCTCAGCCCTTAGCAGTGACTCTTAGCACAAAGTCTATTGTTTACCAAGCCACTTGGGTGACCCAAATTCATTGCTAGGTTTGAAGGTTTCTGGAAAGGGTCACAGCCCTCTTCAGAATCCAGTACTTTCAACACTGGATAACTGTGCTTATTGTTTGTCTATGATGGCTGAGAATTGCTGCTTTGTTAGGGTTACCTAAACAGAGGCATGTTTCCCTCATTGATTCACCCCTAAAACCATGGTTTTCTTTTTTATTTTGCTTCCTATCATTTAGATGCCCTAAAGAGTTACAGCTCATGCCCTGAGGTGATGTGCACAGGGCTCTGTGCAGCCGGCACTGTGACTCCCATAGAAACGAGATGCTGATGAACGAGTGTGAGGGAGTGCCAGCCAAAAAGACCCCATGGGGAGGTGTGGTTCATGGATATAAATCCAAAATTAAATTATCTTGAGAAAATTACAACCCAGTTGCCGTTGGCAGCTGGATAATGTATATATTTCATTAAATATTAAAGTTTAATTTTGCTTTTGTGTATGTTTGCATTGGGCTGTGCCCCTGATCCTGGAAGCCACTGCAACACACAAAGCTTTGGCCAAGGCGAAGCCTCAGAGCTGGGAAGGGCTGGTCCCTCTCCTTGCTGACTGTGAGCCAAAAGAACCCTTCCTTCCACTAGTTGCTTTTATCGCAGCAAGGAGATCAGTGCTCTTCCTAGCTTCACTAGCCATGCTAAATGGTGAGCCTTGTTTACAAGAGGAACTTGCATAGTTATTTGTTAGTCCACAGGAATCTCCTGCAGGTGGGTTTGAGTAGGAGGTAACTTCCAGAACAAAAAGAAGTGGTGGCTCCTTGGGTCAAGGACAAGGTGGACCTGTTCCTCATTGGCATCTCTTTTTTAGAACTCTTGGAGGAATTGTAAAACCCCAAGAATCACATTCATGTTTGCATATGCAACCAAGCCAACATTATAGAAACGTGAAAACTAGGGTCCAGACAAAGGGAGAGACTTGGCCCAGCTCATAGATCAAACTTGTGTTTGAGCCAAAACTTGACCCACATTCCTTGTGTTACAGTCTATGACTCTAGACATAGCAACATAGACCTTAAATCACTTACTGACTCCTGGAAACCAGAAGTACTATTGAGTTGAGATCTCTGAGGCTCTGGACTTGTTGGGAAAAGATATTACATTGACTAGTAATGTCTGCCTTGGGTGAAGAAGGATGTGTGGGGTTCCTAGTACTTTGTATCATGGGAGAGTTGTTTCTTGTAAGTCTGAAAGGAATGTTTTCCTACCTTTAAAGTTGGGCCTGATCCTGGCATCATACCCAGAAGTCCTCCCCATAAGCTTATCCAGGAAGTCCGAGGGTGACATAGGCTTGGGTGCAGAGCGGGCAGCTTCAGCCTCTTTGGAAGCAGCAAGGCTAAGAAGAGAGAGAGAAGCACAAGGTTGACGGTGGCTCTTCTCCATGCTCTGATCAGACCACAGTACACAGAGTACTCTGTGCTTGAGCTGGGTCTTTAAGGAAGAAGGCACGGGCTGCACTGTTTATCAAGCCCCAGTGGGAAGCCAGCCTGGGGCCTGGCAGACAGCCAGTGTCTGACTGAGACTGAGAAGTCTCCAACTCCTCACAGTGTCTGCTGTCATGAGTCATCGGAGTGGCTGGGTCTCCTTGGGAGAGGGGGCTGAGAGGTTGGGTTTAGGTCTTCCTAAGGAGAACGAATGCCGGAAGGTTGGTCTGGCTGACTCAGTTGTGCTTTGGGTACCTGCTGTCTCACAGGTACATGGGCTATTAAAGGATCTCAGAGATAACGTAGCCATTTCCTTTAAAGTTCTCTTCAGAATCGGCTATTGTAAAGATAAATAAGTAGATAAATAAAAGTTGCCAAAGTAAAATGCATTTGGAAATACAAATTTACCCATCCCCTTCTCTTTAGCAGCTCCACACACTTATACACATGGGTGTCTATATTATAAAACAAGCATTTTAGAAATCCACCAT